GTAGTCCTGGGAAGTAAGAACGGCTATCACGGTGTTGACCGCCTCACCCACTGAGAACCGATTTGTCTATAAAATATAGATCGTCCTATATCTCCAATACCTCTAAAGGGTCCTCTGCTCTGCTTTACTTACTTCAAGTACATCACCCAATTTGTGATCCATATTGGAAATAGATGCATGACAAATGCTGATCGGTGAGGAATAGGAAGGAGGAGGAGGAAGAAGCAGAGGTTTTGAAAACCAGATATACACTGGCTAGCACTGTGACCTAGAAATGATTTAAACGGTGAGATAACATGTATAGGAGCGTTTGTCTAAGCTTTTTTTTTACACATATTCATGGGGTTCAGTTCTTTTTGTAGTGTCTATTCCTTCCTTAGCTGCGAGTTGTGTGTCTGTGCTGCCATCATGTTAGCTGCATCAGTGATGTGAATTTGTGCTTTTAAATGCAGTGACAAAATCAAGCAAACTACCACGAAATTATCCGTCTTCTTGTTTTGTCTCGTGGGCTCTAGACCGAACGGTTCCGGAATTTGTTCAAAAATGACGCTGTGGTGGTCGGCGTATTGTTGGCTACATCACCTACTCCTTGCCATCAACTGCAAGAGATGTGGCATGAAATACATTGGTGAAACAGGTCTACGACTGGCTGACAGGTTCGGACGACATCTTTAAGGATGTGCAGAACGGTGCCCTGAAACCAGTACCGTTGCATTCAAATTGCCAGGATCAACAAGGTGTCCTCGACATGGAGGTGACAGCCAATAAATCTAGCCCTTCCAACGACAGAGCCCGCAAGTCTCTTGAAAATCGCTTTCTTTACACTTTGGGAACTTTCACACCCAAAGGACTGAAATGCCAATGCAGTTTCCTCTAAAATCATACGGTATTGAACTGCCCACAGTTTTATCTCAAACCCTCTAGTTGGGTCCCCTGGCATTCGGCGTTGGTATTTATTCTCCCGGCCAGTCTATTGACAAGTCATCGACCCGGCTGCTTCGAGATACCAGCTAAGTGATTTTGTGTATTTGTGTGATTTTTTTTTTTTTTTTGGTAAGAGCTGCTGAAGGCTCTATAACCACAACGTTCACGTTTTGTGTGTTATATTGTGAAGCTTGCTTATAAACTATTCGTTCGGTTTTATATCTCTACTGAGTGCCGACTGGTCTATCAAATATAGATCTAGCACTATATGCAAAATACGCCAGAAGGCGTGGAAACGGGCATTTTTTTTACTTTTAATTATTTTTCTCTAGTTGTATTGCGCTTGAAACATGACATAATACACAAGTTTAATTGCGGTGCGCAAATATTTGATTTCTACAGTCATTAAACTTATACAGTATATTATACAGATCTTTGTCGAGTGGATATATTTTATTATGCCGGGTTTTATCACATACTGCCTCCGCAGAAGGCTAGCCGATATGCCAAGAGCATCAGACAAATCACGAACCCTAGCCCAGGCAACGATCCCCAGGGAGTTCTGTAAAAACTGCACTCATAGACCGAACGAAACGGACTCTTAAACAAAACCTATGACCTTCTGATTCTGGACAAACGGCTCAAGCTCCTATTCATGGGGACATTGGTTAAAACATCGTCGTTATGGACTTTGTCTGATGAAGCAGACATTCATTGCTTCTGGATCATTCAGTACTTCGTGGGATCAGGGACAGCGATGGGCACTTTGTGTGGACAATTACGGCGTTAGCTGTTTGTCGTAAAGTTTAAAAATTACCCCTAACGACTTGCCTTTCTTTTCATCACATGACCAGAAAGCAGTATCTCTTGTTGGAGCGTATAATGCGACATCTGAAAGCTATGGAGGGAATTAACGTGCGAGGAAGTAAAATCAACAATATAAGATAATCAGAGGATACAGTATTAGTTGCAGACAGTGAAGAAGATACACAGTGTTTGGTGGATGCAGTAATGGTTCACAGTGAGAAATGAGGCTTGGAATTAAATTGAAAGAAAACGTAAATTATGGTCAACACCAAGTAGAAAGAAATATCAAAGTGTGAAATACATGTAGGCGGTAAAATTCTTAATCAAGTTAACAGACACAACTATTTAAAAACATCATAACATCTGATGCAAGATGCCTTGCAGAAATTAGAGCAAGAATCGCCATGGCAGAGGTGACATTTAGCAATGTGGAAAAGAAGCTCATTAACAAGAAGGATGTAAACTGCAGTGAGAAAAAGAGTGTTTAAGTGCTATGCGGGACCTGTGTTGTTATATTTCTGTGAAACATACACAGTAAGTAAAAAAAGCTATTAAAAAACACACATTTACTCGCAGCAGAGACTTGGTTCCTGAAAACAATCAAAGCATATCATGGAAGGATATAACAAAAACGAAGCAGTCATCATCGAGACAGGTGAAGGTCGTAAACTTATTAGAACAGTTAGACATAGTGATTTTTTTTTTTTTAACATGTTGTATGAAGAAAGGGACTCGAGAACTTAGTAACAACTAGCAAGATTGATGGAAAGAGAGCAAGAGAGAGGCAAAGAGATAAATACAGGGATGGTCTGGCCTAATGGATAAGGCGAGACAAAAACATAGAGCTGATCCGGGATTCTGGTGATCGTGGGAGATGGCGAAACTTGGCTGACAGCCTACGCTTACCGACAAGGCACATGATGATGATGATGATGATGATGATACTGTTCTACTTACCTTAACTTTTCCCACGGGCAATCATTATTACTGGCAAAAGAAAGTATCCCCAGTATTCGCATCAGAGCCGCATCCTTCCTGCTGCCCCAAAACGATTTCTGATTTGGTCATGCATGTTTGAAGATTTGGTGGTGTACAACATAACACGCTTTACATGAGAATTCAGTCTGTCTTTGAAACATTGAATGCAAGGTACTTTACTTCGAGATACATTTCACTTTATCGTACATACATTTCATCATTTGAAATGTGTGTTTGTTTTTTCCTTGGCCGATGCAAACATGTGCGTTATTTTAATTACATTTAAGGGTTGTCCGCCAACTAATATTTTAATATGGGTAAGAAATCTCTTAGAGTTCATTACAACTGTCGTCCCTATGTGGAATGCAATTTTTTTTTTAGTTGAAGCCCCACCCTGGCTTCTGCCGGAAGCCCTGAAAATGTCTGGGGCATAGATATAGCCTAGCCATATGGCCGAAAGGCTGAAAGGGGTTTCCGGGACCTATTTACGGGTGGTTCTCATCCGCATGGTGGCACCGGGTGTTTGTCGCTTGTGTGATGTCCTGGTGTGGTACACCTACCTCTCAGAGTTTGAAAGAATCGTAGACAACTTGAAACAAATGGAAAGATCCAGTTGAGATAACAGTACTACGATAAATGAAGCTGATCGGCTCTCTAATTAAATTTGGTCTGTGGGTGTTATACAACGGTATTCTATGCAGAAAGATCACATGACAAGACAAACTACGTGTGCTTGCAATAGCAACGTGAGGAAAAGAAGGGTTGATCAGGTAATCGCAGTTTCAACTTCGTAGCAAACGGGCCGCCGCCTAGTTGCCCAGCTCCTGTGACAACCAAAACCATACACACATTCAGTCACTGTCGCTTCGGAAAGAAGAAAATACTGCAGTCTCAGCAAAGCCAATAACACACACACGCACACACACACATTAAATTCACAAGACAGCCGTCAGAAATAGCAACACAAACATTGGGACAGTGGATACATTAATGTTTTCGTTCACCCCCCCCCCCCCCACCCCTTCCCCCCACCAAACCACACACACACCGTTTTTACGAACTGCTTGAAGGTTGGACACCACGCATGAATGAATGAATGAATCAAGAATCGATATCACTGTACTCGGGACATTCTCACACGTGCCCCGTCCCCTTCTCCAGTAAACCAACGAAGAGCCGACGTGCTAAAAGTATCGGCTGTAAATGGTTTCCTATCTGTTCTTTTGCACTTCCATTCGATCCTGTAGAGCCTTCGCTTTATCATATAGTAGCTCACCGCCCAGAAGAGCGGCAGCAGCTAATCGGTCAGCCTGCTAATTACCTCGCACACCTGAATCGCCAGGACAAAAATTCCATGATTTGATCTCCATCGTATCAACCGATGCAAACCCCTCTGCTCGCAAAACACCAGTTTCAATTTTTGGAGGCATGCTCTGTGAGTAACAATTACAACATGCCGCGCTGTGCTGCCCTCAAGCCATCGGAAAGCTGACATGACTTTTTCTGTGTTCCCATGCTGTAAGCTCCTGCATGAAGTCTTGATCGTTCGTCAATTCGGACTTTGGTTTTGTTCCAGAGCCTTAGTTTTGCGTGTACATCCGTTTTACTGACTTCATTTGTCTGCAGTTGGTGGTTCCTTGCCGCTCGGGTAAATGCACTCCGACTTCGAAGGAAGTCCCAAGTTAATCGAGTCCTACGACAAGCTTGTATGGGAGGCAATGGGTCTATCCTTGATTTTCCCACAATGGAGATCCGGAACCCACACGGGTTGTCATTAGTGCCTCCACCTCTGTTCTTATACTGGACGTAGTGACGTTGTTTTCAAGCATTGTCCATTCTCCTGTGCAATAAAAGCCCCATACTTTGAGATTATCTTAAGAAGTTATATGGGCACCATAAAAGCCTGTAGATTAAAAGTGATAAATACTAATACAATTAAGACACTTCGACAACATAAAGAATGTTTGGTGGATTGGAAAAGTGCAGGAAGACGACCAAGTTATAACTGTGTGGACATCACCAAAAGACGAATTTAAAAGCATAGTATAACTTTAAATTAAGGAGGAAATTTGAAACGTCAGAATTCGATTTATATATGTGTGGGGATGATAACTATTCCGTTATTTGTTTCGTTTCTGAATATTTCCCAACCTAATGTTTACGTTGAGACAAGGGACGCTACTACAATTCACTTTTTACAACACTTGAATCTTGATTGCCAAACCACGTTTTAAAAGTTAAGGCGTCAAACAGCTTTGGTCAATTTCCAAGACCAGTTTTTGTCGATCGCCATGGTTGTATTTAACTGTAATGCTTGCGGAGAAGCACTCAAGAAAAACCAAGTAGAAAAACATACGTTACGATGTCGTTATTGCGAAGCTTTATCGTGTGTTGACTGCGGGAAGGACTTCTGGTAAGTTTGGTGTTTACATTCATAGTTGCGGCGTCCATGGCTCAGGCGTTACGAGTTTCGGCTCTCCTTTCAACTACGGCCGGTAGACAACAGAAGACGGCCGGTTAGTCGGAGTTCTCTCCTCTGGCTACAGTGCTATTACGGACTGGAGAAGGCACGAATTAAAACACAAAGTAAACTCGACGTGCCTTGATTGCAGACCCTGCGCTGCGACTCAAATTAGCGACCGCGTTTAATTACCGCTTCTTGCGACGCGTTACGGAGTGGACTAGAGGGAACACAACAAGTGACGTAATTACTGTGTATTGGCGATAGACAGTGTGCACTGCCCTGCTATGATCATACGATTAGGGTTTGGGTTCCTACTTTAAGTTTGTGCGAAGACGAGATGCGGCGACACTAACCGTAACCCACACCCTAAACCTAACCCAAAGCCTAATCCTAACCCTAATCGTCTGATCATAACAGGGCAGTGCACGCTGTCTATCGCCAACACACAGTAATTCTGTAATTTGTTTCGTTTCCTCCTGTCCAGTCCGTAATCACTGTAGCCAGGGGAGAGAACTCCGACTAACCGGCCGTCTACATTTGTCTACCGGCCGTAGTTGAAAGGAGAGCCCGAGTTCCCGTTCGACTCGTAATTCTAGCGTCCTTACCGTGATCAAAACTAACTGCTGGCTGCGTGGATTTTTATCATGGTGTGGGGCGTCGCAGGTCTGCCCAGACTTAAATGTTTACCAGGATGTATGTCCTGGGAAAGTAAAGACGGCCAGCGTAATGCTGACCACATTACCATTACCCACCTAGTGCAGATTGGTCTGTAAAAATTTTTAATAGGTGCTCTTCCCATATTTCCTATGCGCCTAAGGTGTAAAAAGGGGATTTTTACTTCATAATTACTGTTACTAACTTATAACTACACTTGCTTGCTTTACTTTAGTTTAACTTATTGAAAATTCGGCTTTCCTCAACCTGATATTATGGTGACCATAAATAAAATATCCTTACGGGGCTCAGGCATATGTAAAATGCGGACTGTCTGCCAAGGAACAAATCATAGCAAAACTAGGATTACTTGACAATTTTAAGAGACACAACATTGCAGACGATAATAGCGACCTTTGACACTTTCGAGCGTTTCTGCAGACGATAATAATAATAGTAGCTAACTATAAACGCGATTAAACTCACCACCGAGCGTATCCCCCGCGGCGCGGGTGGGGAGCTAAACTAGGTGCCTGGAACTCACGAGCAAATTAATTGGAGGAAGTTGCAGGAGATGCGGTAGCTGCTGCTAGTGAGTCCCAGCCATCTAGTTAAGCCCCCATCTGCGCCGCACGTAGCGGCACAGGGGATACGGTTGGCGGTGAAACAGGTCCGCAAGTAACATATCACTGAGACCCTGTTAGAGCATTTGTTTCGTTATATGGAGCTGGCAAATTTTTAATAGAACTGAGCCCCGTAATGATATTTTATGGCCGCCATAATATCGGGTTGAATTTCGGAGGAGAGCCGAAAATTGAATACTATATTTAAAAAATACACAAATAAAATCATCTGCCCCAAGAATGGGTCAAATTTTTCTGAAATTCTGTAACGTGGCGACTGTGATTCTCATCCAGATTAGCACTTTGGCTTTGTGATTGTAAATATCCCATCACATGCTTGGGTGGATCGTAAAATATCTTGAAAATCGATCTGCAAGTGTCAAGATACAGGGTTCAAGGGCAGATCTCAATGAAACATGGAGTTCCACAAGGCGGAGTTCTGTCCCCAATTCTTTTCCTAGTTCACATTAACGACATAAAATCAACCCTCTGTAATTGAGTTCAAGCTGTTATGTATGCCGATGATCTGGCGCTACTGAGTTCAGAGGAGGACACTGAAAAAGCCCAGACAAGGCTTCAAGAATCCCTAGGAACTCTAGAGAGGTGGTCCAATAGTTGGTACATGCCTGTAAATGGATCCAAAACCACAAACACCATTTTCAGTCTCTCTACCAAACCCCAGAAAGTTTCACTTACATATGGCAGCCAGGCACTGAAACATGATGACTCACCGACATATTTAGGAGTAACCTTTGACCCAAGACTCACATGGAGAAAACAGATAGAAAAGACACAGAGCAAGGGACTCAAGAGAACACAACTGATGAGGAAGTTAGCTGGAACAGACTGGGGGGCAAACCTCAATGTCCTTAAGAGGACCTATACAGGCTATGTGAGGCCAACAATAGAATATGGAATAGCTGCTTGGGGCACAGCAGCTAAATCAAATTTTCAGAAAGTCTCAAAGATCCAAAACCATGCTCTCCGTATTATGACAGGGGCAATGCGCTCCACGCCCATATCAGATATGGAAACAATTACTGGTCTCCATGATCTGGAAGATAGGAGAGACACAAAGCTCCTCACCCAGCTCTCCAAATACCACCACTTTAGAGAACAACCCATGCACAGTCGACTGCAGAAACCCCAGAAGGCTAGACTAAAGAGAACCTATTTTATTAAGAACGCAAATGCCAAGCTCGCTGTCCTTAAACTCCCTCCCATAATACAGAATGTTCCACCTAAACCTTACGACTGCCCCCCCCCCCCCCCCCCCCCCCCCCCCCCCCCCCCCCCCCCCCCCCTTGGCTTAAGGATAGCCTACCAACAGTCAGAACCACTGTAACAGGGATCTCCTCCAAATCATCAATGAGCAGTACTGATATGAAATCAACTACAAAAGGAGAGATCAATAGACTTTATCTACACCAGAGTTGGATTCGAGTGTATACAGATGGTTCAGCCAAGAGAGCAGTTAGAGACGGAGGAGGAGGAATATACATAGAATGCCCAAATGGTTTAAAAATCAACCAGGCTGTACCAACAGGTTCATATTCCTCCAATTACAGAGCAGAGGCAGAAGCACTTCTAGCGGCATGTTCTTTCCTGAATGAACAACAGCACAGCAAATATAGCAGAGTGGTCTTTCTGACTGATGCTATGTCAGTTCTACAAGCAATTGTTAACCCAAAAGACACTCAGTTCGTAGACTTGACGCAACAGCTGATTTACTTAGGCTCTTCAGTAGAACAATCTGTAATGCAGTGGATTCCAGGTCACTGTGGCTTGGAAGGCAATGAATTAGCAGACAGATTGGCCAGAAACGGCAGTGACATGATACAACAAAATGAGTGACTTAACCCACCAAGAGATGAAAACATTAATACAATCTAGTATCCAAGAAAGGTGGCTGGATACCCACACCAGATTTTCTCCCCAAGACTCACTTCATCGCCTCTCTAGAGAGGGGCAGTGTACTATATTCAGACTAAGGACTGGCCACAACAGATTTTGTCAACATATGTTTAAATTTTTCCACGTGGGAAATACGGAGACGTGTCCCTGCAGCGTGGCACCCAAAAATGCTGAGCATGTGCTCCAACACTGTCAACTGTATGCTGACAACAGAGATGCAATCAGGCCTGTTCCAACCACACTAAAGACAAAACTGTATGGTACACGAGAGGATATAGATTACACAATAGCTACCGGCCTCCTGATATGTTTTCTGACAGAAGGATCGAAGAAGAAGAAGAGTGTTTATCGCTCGTTGTGCTGTCCTGGTGGTGTTGAAAGTCAGACAGTTTCTCTCAGCTTTACAAAACTGAGGAAATAAATTCCGTCTGACAGGAATCAGCTTCATTTTTGTACCAGAACAGAAGGAGGGAATGAATGGTGAAAAAGACTTGCTTGTGCCAGCAGGGCCACGATAAGTATAGCAATGAACCGGGCCATTATTTTCAATGGCAATTTTATCAGCCACCACATTCTGACGGACATACTGAAGATTGTATCCTATCCTAGTGTTGATGGACTGGTCCGATGTGCAATTCATGAGGAAAATCTATTGAATAACTAACATTACAAATGTTTTTGGGATCTTTTTAGTCGTCGGTCCTTCAGTAATCATGATTACTTCTCTATGTCATCAGTTACAGTTTTACAAATGTACTAAGCGAAAATGGCTAGATTTTTAACAAGGTATATTTAACCTCTAACTTACTTTATGGTTTAGATTATGTACAAAGTAAGTAGGCAAATTTTCACATTATATAGAAAAGCTTCACAGGTAACCTAACCAGTAACCAGTTACTTTTTTCTGTATGTTTAAATTAAAATAATTTTAATGTGTAACAGGTAACCTAACCAGTAACCAGTTACTTTTTTGTGTATGTTTAAATTAAAATAATTTTAATGTGTTTTTTTTCAATGCTAGTGGCTAGGACAAGTGAGACTGAGATTGTTTTAATTTGTGTGTGTGTGTATATATATATACATGTTTTTTAAAGAAATCTTTTTTGTTTTGTTTTATTAGGGAGGGGGTGTGGGTGTATTGTGTGTACAGAAGGATGAACTATTTAAGTATACTTTTTAAGTCCAGCTGGTCAGGAAGATGACAGCCATTCATTAGCTTGAAGTTAGTTAGCTAGTGTGCTTCTATGGTTCTATTATCATTATGTTATATTATTTTATTAACTTTTCAATAAATCACAGTAATGTGTCATTGTTAACATTGATGCTTGCTCTGTCTTCAGGGGAAACGACTACCAGACCCATACCAAATGTATGACAGAGAATGAAAAATACTGCGGCAAGAATTATGTTGCAAAAGTCAATAAGGGAGAGGTTAAACAGGAACAATGGATTGAGGTTAGAAATTCTTGTTTTAATTATTTACTTGTACAACCATGCTGTGGAATTGTTATGTTTAATTAATGTTATAGTTTGCTATATATTTAATATACAGGGTTATTCAAAATGATACACAACCTTTCATGCATAGTTCCTTAAAAATTCATTACATAATAATAAAATACATACAAGAGAGAGAGGAAAGTCTTAAGTTTACAAGCTTATAGTAAAGGTTATAGATGTTCAGTATGGCCACCGTCTGCTGCTCGGCAAAGATTTAAGTGATAGCCAAACTGTGTGCCCGCTGGGATCCATACCTGATAACATGTGAGCAGAAATAAATGAGGATAACGTGCTATTGACAGTTACTTGATACTAATGTCATATTGTTGCTATAACTCATTTTCACATTACAATTTTAGTGTGAATAGAAGCTTTGTTTTTTTCCTCTTCCTTTTAGCCATCATTGAAGTATAGTCCAGTTTTGTCAAAGAAATTAGCAGATTTTATGTTTTGTTATATCTGTATGTTCAGTACCACTTGCTACATTTGAGTGTTCATTTGTACTATTTTTGTTTAGCATTGGCTGGTTTCAGAAGCTGCAGTAGCATGCTTGCATTATGGTTTGATAGTACTGAATCAAAAAACTATTGAGACAGGTTTTGTAAACAGAAAGAAATGATCTGGCTTCTCAAGTCACTCCAGCCAAAAAAAAAATGTCAACTTAGTTTGATTTTTTAAAAGTTGCAGGGCTTTGAGCACTCTGCAGAGTGCACCAATGTCTAATTTCCATGCATTTTGGAGTTTCATATTTAAAAGTTGGGAACCGAAGACAAATGAAAGAAATTATTGCTTTGTAATGACACTGTAAGATCTCATTGCGTAATTAATAAAATGGCTCGAACAAATTAATAGCAGCTCTTAAAGACTAATTAGTCGCTTAGCTTCTACCTTGGGGTGTAGGTGTTTGCCAGAGAGATCGCCAGACTTCTCTTGTATTTATTCCATTTCTGTCCTCTTATCAGTCAGCAGACTCTGGGTGGACCTGGAGGTCTGGCTCCTTGGTTCTAACCTGCCATGGTGGCCGATTTTCTCCCATTCTGCATACATGTCCAAACCATCGTAACTGTGACTGATCCACTTGGGTTTGTAAGTCCTGGGTTTCAAGATCATGACGTATTGTCTGATTGCAGACTTTGTCACTTGGACCACCTTTCTCATATATCTCATTTCTGAGGTCTGAAGCTGGCTTCTGTGAGCTATTTTCATTGACCATGACTCACACCCATAGATCAGGACTGGCACATAGGTGGAGTCGATAAACAGCCATTTTTGACCTCTTGCCAATTTCTCTTTTGCTGAACAACCTTCAGTTTAAGGCCTGGAAAGGTCTCCCAGCAGCTGCTTTTTCTGTAGCCCGCTTGGTCTTAATGCCTACATTTCAGTCTGTTAACCTCCAAGGTATTTGAAGGTTGACCTGTTCCATTATGATCTGGTGTTTCTTCTCCTCTCTTGAGATCACCATAGTTTTAGTTTTGGACATACTGATAGTCATTCCTCTCTTCTCAAGCTTTTTCTTCCAGACAAGTAAGTTAGATTGTAAGTGTGTCTATGATTTAGCTATCAGGGCCACATTGTCTGCAAATGCCAGCTCTGATGTAGAGATTGGTCTTATCTTCCAATCCCTGCTGAGTACTTCTTTATCTTCTCCTTACAGGTCTTGATGACATCATCCATCATAAGAATGAAGAGGTAAGGTGAGAGAATATCACCTTGTCTAACACCGCTGGTGGTCTTAAATTCTTCTGACTTTTGGTCTGCTATTCTTACACAATTTCTGCAGCTTTTGTAGAAACTATTGCACTGATCAGGAGTGCTGGAATGTTTTTCCCTGCCAAACAGTCCCAGAGCTTGCTCCATAGAACCTTATCAAATGCTTTTTTTTTTTTTTTAGATTTAAAAAAAAAACTTGCATCTCACTTTTATATTCAAGGGTGTTTTTACTCATGCCTGAGTGTGAAGATAAGGTCTTGAAAACTTTGGTTCCATGTGAAGCCGCATTGGGCCTGCTCCAGCTGTCCAGACTTTTAAGTCTCTGCTTGAGAATTATAGAGTAACTTTTACCAGGAACGCTGAGGAGGGATATGCCTCTGTGGTTTTCATATTGTCTGTTATCACCCTTTTAAATATAGTTAGCAGCTCAATTATTATTATATCTGACTTATGAGTATGTATTTGTAAATGATAAAGTTACACTGGTTGATATTTCAGAAAGTACAAAGTGCTATTGACAAGTCTGTGTCCAATCCCAATTTGAAGGGGTTGTTGGAGCGCTTAAAGGACTATCCAAACATCCCCAGGAAGAAAATTAAGTTTGTGGTATGTTGTTTCTTGTATAGGTGCAACATTTATACGCATATTATGGGATGGAGATAGTGGCAGCTTGGCTGACAATAAATAGCTGATAGTCAGATGACTGCTAGATATGGTGATTTGTTTTGATGTGAGCCAGAATTCTCCTGTATAAAAGGCCATGAACCAATGCTATGGTTTTTACTGCAGGAGAAATGGGAGCCGGGTATCAGGTGCTTTCTTACACTACTGAACTACATCATGACCTATAATGGGAATAGCATGCAGACATGAGTTCCTGTCAGTTTAAGCCACTAGGAAATGATAAAGAAAAAAAAAGTAATGGTCCTTTTTCCACGCCTTTAGGCGTATAGAGCTAGACCTATATTTTTATACTCCAATCGGCACTAGGTGAGTGATGTGGTCAGCATCATGCCGGCCGCCTTTACTTCCCGGGACTGCACTCGGTACCCAATCACGGCTGGGTCTACCTGGGAGTCAAGGTCATTTTTTTTAGTCCGGCGTCGACAGGGAGTGAACCTACGACCTTCCGATCCCTACGCAAGCGCCTAGCCACTACATCACTGCGGCTCCCATTAGGAAATGATACCTTGGAAAAAATCCATTCTGCTGCCTTGTATGATGGCAGAGTTTTTGGAACAGCTCAGAATATTGGAGACAAAGAGTGTTTATTTTCTGTGGTACAGGCTCTAGGAAACGTGAAACATACACTATCCTGTACTGAAAAGGAGCTTATTTTCATACACCTACTACTGACTTGCGTCAGTGGTGACGCATGATCAGTTCGCATGTGTTAGCGTTAACAGGTAATAGTTGAAGTGAAAAGGGTGTCATGTGATATTTTCCTTCTTGTCCCTTTGCTATTGAGTGTATGTATGCACAGCTAGCATGATAGTACTAGTAACTTTCACAGTTTATGATTTCTGCATGAGTGGCATAAGCATGCAACGAGCATTCTTAAAACTGTTTGAGATGAAAAACAGATGGTGTATTTGTGAGGAAAAAAGTAGTAAGCAGTGTTAATACATTTGTCCTTGGCATAAAAGATGTAGGCAGCAAATTACAGTCATTACATGCATGCCTTGTCACTGACTTACACACACGTTTTTGTGAAGTACTCAATGTTCAGTGACAGATGCCACAGTGTATTGGGATGTTATCTGTGCTAGAAATTATATATTTAATTCTGTATGGCTTTTGAAGCAGTTTGTCACTAACAGATTGATAATTATGTTGCAGAATTTTCTCAAGAACAGTTTACGAATTTACAATGATTCACTTATAAATCAAGTATGGGATACGCTAATGGCAGCCAGTGAAGAGGTATGGAAAAGCTTATCTTTTTTTTTTTTTTTTTTTTTTTGGTGAATTAATTTTGTGTGTCTGTGTTTAAAATAAGGACAAACTTCCCAGTATAGTTAGTGGTAACACGCTGTGATGATAAATTAAGGCTACGGTGTGGATTGAAGTTAGTCCAACCGTGTGCCTCTGCAGTCTTCTTTTAACCTTTATCACCCCATTCCTCCCCCCCCCCCCCCATAGATCCTCAACCAGTTTGTCTCATCCTTTGATATCTGATGCAGCTCACCACATGACCTCCCAAACTACTTAGGTCCTTCTTTGATTCTTTTCTCTGCATGTTTCTTTGGTCTGACTGTATTTTCTTTGACCCTCTGGGCTCCAGTGCAAGGATATTCTGTTGAAATTGTTATCAGGTTTTCTCAGTGCAGCTGCAGTCTAGCAACCAACATGTAAAGCAATAGCTCTCAGTCTCCTGGCAGGTTGTGGATGACATGACAATTCTGTGGCTAAACTCATTCTACAAAGTTGCAGTTTATTATATAACAGTTCATTGCTATGTATATCCAAAACTGGAACAGCTCATCTTTAAAATTTTTATTGAACTAAGCTTCTGTTCTTAAGCTCGGTATTAACGATTGTCTATCACATGTCTTTCTATTCTGTGCGGATACCATTTTATGAATGCTAGTGGCTTGTTAGTGATTGTTTTATACAAATGTAAAGTACCTTTTCCTTGCATTGAGCACAATGTGCTGCTCCTGTAATTTATAGACCAGTTCACATTCACTATGCCAGGGCTTTAAAACTAAGTTTACCCATAGGGAAAATGATGGAAATAGGGTTTGTCACGGGCTAGAGGTCCGAAGCCCAGCATAGAAACTTCATTTATACAATTGGCAGTGATCCTTGGGCCACTTTCTAAGCTTTGAAGGCTGCATTCAGCCCACATGCTGCCATTTGAATAGCCCTGCACTAGATGATGTGGCTAGCAACAAGCAGGTTGTCTTTACTTCCCAGAACAGTTTCTCATACTTATGATCTTAAACACATCCCTGCTTCTCTAAGAGATTGAAACAGACAGGTTTTGACAGATGATTGTGCTAGAGAAATAAAGCCAGCTGGTATAGAACTGACCACATTATCACTGCTGTCCAGTCAGGCTGATCATAAAAATATAGAAAGATGTCTTTTATATTCTGTTATTTGTAGTTATATGGAAGATTGCAGCCATTCTCCTATTCAGGATGTGATACTGTTATATTAACATGACCTAACAAATTTAAGATAATCCAGATCTGTAAAACAGATGTACACACAACATCAAAGTCCTGAAACAGGAAAAAGGGCCAAGATCCAGAAGTCGGTGAGCAACCAGGACTTTCCATCAGATGGCAGCTAGTAAACGCTAAGAAAAACTTGTTTATTTGATTGCACCGGCAAGGATCCTGAAATACTTTTTGGGTAGATTTTTAACTCAAAATTTTGCCGGGGCAGTGCCGTTAGGCTGCTGTTTTCGATTTCCAACTGCCAGGGGATTTTTTTTAAGTGCACAACAATACACACGGATATCCGGTCTTACTACTCAGAGACAAGGGGAAATTAAAGTCCACGTGAAAAAATCTCAGCCTTCACCTAGGCTTGAACCCAGGACCTCTAGCACCATGACTCGAGACCACGCAGCTACCTGAGAAAAGCAGAGTTTGTGGTGCTGGTCATTTGAAGGCCAAATCGCACCTGCCAGGATAATTTCCTGGTACCCGTGTTAGGCTGGGCCTGTGAACTCAACAGCCCAGGTAATTGAAAATTAATTACCTTGAATTTGATTTATACACATGATCACAGGGCTTAGAATCATGCATGCAGGTCATTGCACAATCATGCTTCAGTGATGTAAGTAAAACTGCTGCATATTTTCACGTTTTTCCCCGTCAGGATAATAGCAAGCTGAATGGCCGTGAAGCAAGCAAACAGAGGGTGAACGGATCAACAGCTGACACATGTCATGTAGATGGTGGGAAGAAACAAGGGGAGCAGGAGAAATCTGATAAAAAAGAAAAGAAAAGTACAAAGGAAGACATTGATAATAATGAGAAGGGAAAGAAGAAGAAACTTTCAGACAAAGAGAGTACAGATGTATTGCAAGATGTGGGGGATATAGAAGCCAATACTGCTGGACCTAAGTTAAGTAAGAGAGAGCGAAAAGAAGAAAGAAAGAAGAAAGCAAATAAAAAAGAAAAGAAGGATAAGAATGACAACAGTGATAGCAAAGAAGAAATAAGAAAAACTAAGAAGAGAAAACTAACAGAGGATGATGAAACAACCGAAGAAACAGAAGTGGCTGACAGAAATAAGAAGACAAAGAACAAAGATTCTGAACCGGAAGATTTTGATGGTAAGTTGTGCTATCTTGATGTAGTTTTATTGTTTCTTCTTCAGCATACTTGAGGTTCGTTGCTGCAAATATTACCCACCTCCATTCATCTCTGGTTGGCGACTCCAGTTGCTTGAAGGTTTACCTGTCTCTCTTTGTCTTCTCAATCTGCTCCCATTTAACTCTTGTGTTTGCAATTTTTGTCTATCTGCCATTCTGTCTATATGGCCCAGTCAACCATTGCAGATTCATATTTCAAATGCTCTAGTATATCTTAACATATACATATTAACTTTTCATTCTGTTTTATATCTTTTCTTGATGGTATATATTCACAGTGTTGTCTTTTAGGTTACATGTTCTATCTGCAGTTGATGTTTGTGGCAGAATAGCACTGTCATGTCTCTGACTTGTTCAGCAGAATGACTCAGTTTGTCATATCAAGTGCAGTTTTAAAGATTTCAGCTAACAGAGTGGCTTAACTTAGTGCAGCGGTTTCCAATTAGCCAAAACTTGTCCTCTTATTTATAAAGGTTGGCCACAACCTCATACTTATTATAGCCCTACTGAAGAACGTATTATTTATAAATGTTAGAATCACAAAAAAGATTGCATTTTAAAGTTGAAGGTTTTTTGTTTTTGTTAGCGATATTAGGGAGCCCTTTTAAATTGTTCAGTGGCTGCTAGTTATGAAAGCCTGGCTGATAGATTTGGCATCTGCTTCTACTTTGAAAAGTACAAAGTTCAAACCCATTTGTTCCATGTGGGTTTCTGGGCCCCATTGGAAAGGGGGGGGGAGAGAAAAGGCCCACTGACACCCCTCAAACTAATTAAGGGAGTATTCTTTAAAGATGGAGTGCATCTGCCTGAGATGCACTCAAGTCCAGAAGTGGGTGAACAACCAGAACTTTTGCCCTGGAGCTTAGAGCCGGTGAAAGCAAAGATGAGAATACCCTGAACAGATAAAAGAGTAATGATGTCTTGAAAGAAACTGACTCACTAAGAGAACTGATTGCCCGCATCAGTAAGAGACAATCTGCATTCTTTGGTCATGTAATGAGAAAGAGAAAACTGGAGTACATCTTCGTAGTAGGAAAGTTGGAGGGAAGGAGAGGCAGAGGGAGACTGAGAGAAAAGATGCTGAACTGTTTGACATCATGGCATGGAGGATCATCTGTGTCAGGGTTGATTGAAAGTACACGAAGGTTGTGGATAGACATGACTACCAATGCACACCAAAAAGTAACTAGATGTCATAATCAACACAGACAATGATACATCATCATTTATGCAGACTGTTTCACACCAGAAGTAACTAGATGTCATAATTATCTCATAATCAACACAGACAATGAAGCTGATGACAAAAGTGATGAAGAGATACCAGAACCAAAGAAAAAGAAACAGAAAAAGGTCAGGTTCAACTGGGAAGCCACTATTCTTGAAGTGCTACAGTCTAAGGGTGAGATGTCACTCAAGAAACTGCAGAAAAAGGTAAGAGTTTTTAAGTATTTCCGATATGCTTTTGACCAAGGATTTTTCTGTTAGTGTGCAGAACCGACACCTTTATTTTTAGGCATAATTTTGTTTCACTGTTACTGTGATATACATTTTTTGGTCCATAATGGCAGCTTTTAGGCACTTTTTTATGAGTGCTGGCATTTTATTGTTCTAAGAAAAAACCCAAATGCTATACTTAAATTTGGGGGGGGAACAACAATAAAAAAAATATTACATCACATCATGGATCTGTGTCACTCACTCCCCTTCCCCAACCTCTGCCTACCTCTCCCTCTGTCTGCCTTTCCTATCTTTTGATCTGCCTTTCCTTCCTCTTGTACCTTTGTCAGTCTCTTTCCCTCTCTAGTATTTGATCTAGAGCAGACAGCACTTGTAAGACTCCCATCTCACTTGACACTGATTTTACCACCCGTTTAAGTTTTCTATATACATCTTTTTGTCTTTCTCAGCATCTCTTATCAAGTGTTTTCTCATTTGAGTGTGTATTTATGGCTACTTTACTGTTCCATGAATTATATTTATCCTTTCCTGGTGGTTTTGGTAACTACAGCTGTCAAAATTGCAGTGTTTGTTTCTTTTGGATGTACTGTATACTCAATATTTCTGTAAGTTCTTGTCTCTCTCTCTCTCTAGATAGTGTGTGACCTACATATAAAGAAAATATTGTTTTAAATTTTCTTGGAAACTACCAAGCATTTAGTTTTGCTAACATTAATAATGATCAACCCTTCAGTTTGCTCCCCTATATACACATAAGTGCACATTAATAAAATACTGCATATACATGGTACACTCTTGAACAAGACAAAATTACCTGGAAAACCCCATTAAAAGAAAGTTTATAAATTTGGCTACGAAGCCTGTAATATGCATTTTGGTATACATTTCTAAAATCATTCTCCAGGTACCCCATCGGAAAGAGCAGAGGTGTTGCAAGTTTTTTTTTAAAGACTTCTTGATGTCATAATTGTGTCTTTTGAATGGTCTTCCCTTGCTCTGTGTTCATTATATTTCTTCCACAAAGTCTAACTGATTATACTATTAGCTTATTGACTGAACAGTGATTCTAGGCAAAGCTCTTCATTTACTTACCTCATTTTATATCCCATGAAAGTTGGAAATGTTTAAGACATAAAAAATGTACCGCCAGTGTACAACTGCTGCATAAGATTGGTCATTTATAGGTATGCCGTGATGCTGATTCTAAAATTGGTAATTAATAACATTGTAAAATAAATTATTTATATATATATATATATATATATATATATATATATATATATATATATATAAAGGCATGGTGTTTAATTAAAAACATTATGTTAATACACTTAAGTCACATCTATAAAAGGACATGACTTTCTTACTGGCCACCGCTAAGTAAAGGCAGTCCCACACCAGATGCTGTTATTGAGTGAAATATTAGGCTGTCACGTATTAAAGGCATTTCTAAACATCTGAGATAAACAAATTAATGTGTGTTGACTGTAACTCATTGACAATAGAGACAGGAGAACACACTCAGATAACATATATCGGGGCTGTTTAACTAAGTTTATTCAGGGGCCAAAATTGTGAAAATGTCATACAATTCACAGTGATTTTCTAAGTGATGTCTGAGGTAGAAGGGCCAGTTATCTTCCTCACTACCTTTTCTATTCCCAGACAATAAGGTGAAGTGTCTGCTGGTCCCATCAATCGTCATGTCGGTAAAATTTACCGTTTTGTCTCTGAGCCAGGAAATCAGAAATGACATGCATGAAGAAGCTGAACTGTCCCATTTGCATTGTTTTAACATGGATAACAGTGTATATTATTTGAGATCATTGTTGGTAATGTACGTTTCAGCTTCTTAACAGACGGGTCACCCGTAGTTGCTCCACTCCTGTGCCAACGAAAAACACACAGAATGTCCATAGCTGTCTCTTGTGGAAAAATTTACACAGACTGCTTATCCACTAGCATACACACATTAAAAGCAGAAAGCAGCCATCAGAAGTGCTAACACAAACAGTCTGACATTAGAAATGCAGTTGATCATCGATGTATGCAGTAGTTGCTAACCAATTGCACCTGCGATCAAATTTAATCACATAAGGCACCGGCACCACCAATTCTGTGGCAACAGGCCACATGCTGTTTTCTGAATCTACAGTTGAAAACAATACATTGGTCCCAGCTGAAAAACATTCAAAATCTGCAGCTCACAGTGTAACATCATGCACTCAGCTCAGCAGCTGGGCAACAAAACTATATATATTCTTTGAGTTTACAAATGAAAGAAAATGCAATGGCCGCCGCCTGTCTGAGATGCACAAAAAAATGTGTCGTACTAAAAAGTGACCTTGCTTATCGTCCATTTTGACCGGATGTCTCCATTGTTTAGAGCATTATTGCTAGAGATAAAGAGGTGAAAAGGTGTCTGCTTTTAATTTACATTTCCTTTATTCATTTTTGAACAGGTTTTGAATGAGTTTACCGCTGTGGATGCTGCTAACTACTCAGAGGACAACCTAAGGGCTAAGTTCAACAAGAAAGTCAACAAGATAGCACAAGTGAAAGTGTTCAAAGATAGAGTGAAATTGAAATAAACGAATGTTAGGTCAGTTTCGCCAGAGTGAAAGTAATTTTTACATTGGATCAGAATGATTTATAAATAGCAAGTCTGCTGAAAGATGATCTAAAGCAGTTTTATGGCAGCACTTTTAAATGTCAACCATTTCAACATTCTTTAGGCACTTTTGATTTCATCAGGTGTAAAACTTTAAAATGTGTTTGTTTGTTTTAGTGTCCAGAAGCAATGAGTTGTTAACCCTTAGGCTCGGTATTATGGATATCGCAACCTTTCGGCCTTGATTCCATTGTAAATAAAGTAAATCTGGGAGAAATGTGGCTTTTCTGCCTACCCCCGGACCACAAGGAGTTCGTCACCTGCTCACCCCGGTTTAGCCAACTATGCTAGAGAGCCGGGCTTATAATGTGTTTAATGCCCAACATATTTGTCAATTTTCTGTAATGCATGGCTTGATTAATCACCAAGATAGGAAACCATTTTTGAAAATGAGTTTGTGCTGTTCGTGTTTGTTTAAAGAACTGAAAACTAATGGAGATAAAAACAGTATAAAGTTGGTTTTTATTACTCAAGTATTTCTGCATCATGCCATTTTAGCCTCTTGCCACAGGTAGCTGCTGACTGGTCAGTTTACGAGACACCTAGTTAATACCGTTGGCCATGTTTGCACCTATGCCAGCATTTAAAAAAATATAGGTGAATACACATTGATTAGAAACAAATACACATTGATTAGCAACAAAAATGTTTTTTTGTGTGGAAGGAATTACTCCATTTCATGGCCCATTTTTTTTAGCATTTCTAGGGTGAAAGGATTCAATGTGTTGATACATACTTTTGTAAGATATGTCACAATCTGTTATCTAAGATGTCATGTTAAATTGTTTCAATCATCTTATTGCCTTGTAAACCCTAGAACTGTCACCAGCTGTTATATCTCCAATGTTATTGCCATTAATAAAATCAGATGTCACTACTTTTATTTGATGTTTCAATTGTTGCTCTTTTTCTTCATTAGTATCTTTGTGTGTGTGTAAAAGAAGGGAGGGGTGGAAATGTGAGGATCCTTTGTGTGTTCATTCTAGTCATGCCAAAATTTGTGTCAGGCTCTTCTTGATGCCATAATACCATCTTTGGTCTTCCCTTGCTCTGTGTATTTTTTCAGCGTGGCTATCTGTGGCAGTTGGTACTAGTGCATTCTCGTGAGATAGATAGACCATGTCATATGTCCCTCATTAATCTTCTTCCCGGCTGTAAACTGTCAGAAAGTTCTGGCTGTTCATCCACTTATTCCAGAATCTGCACATTAATTTTACAGAGCTGGCTTGTTTGTATGCAGACTGTTGGTTCCACTTGTTTATGTGATTAAGACTTAATGTCGAAAAGTTCCTGGTAAAGGTTGTGCTGTCTGTTTACCTTGCTTTCCTGTGATGGAGGTCAATAGGGTCTGGTTTGAAAGATTAGAAGTGTGATAGAATACTCATTATGTAACAATGCAATATTTCTTCTTTGCGTTGACTGGCTGACTAAAATCCACCAGAAAGTTCTGGTTATTTATAGACTCTGTCTGGTTCCGGAAGTTGATGGTTGTGTTAACATGCTAATTTACAAATCTGCAGACTTTTGGTGTGTTTATATTTGTATAAAATCTCCCTTTCCTTCTGCTAAGCTTCAAAACCATAGTTTGTGTATGTGTTTAGTTATTTTTTGATACCAGTTCCACTGAAGCTGCACCTATATATTTTTTGGCAAGACAGATACTGCTCAACTGCTGTTACACCTATTTTTGCCAATTGGTCTATAAAAAATAGTTCTAGCCCTATATTCCCAATACACCTTTAGGTGTGGAAAGGGGACCTTTTTACTTTTACACCTATTTTGGCAACACAGAATCTAGTTGACTGCAGTTACAACTATTTTGGCAACACAATCTGCTTGACTGCAGTCACACCTATTTTGGCAAAACAGATACCAGCTTACACAAGACACACTAAGACAATTTATTAAATGACAATACCTGATCTGAACAAAACTGTACTCTTTATTCACTACTATAAAAAAACAACTATTAAATAGCTCCCTGAAGAGGTCTTGTCATCTTAGGGGGGAAATAAATCCACTGCCCCTTAACAAGCTTCTCACAAAAGGTTAACTAAAGGGTGTGATGCGGTCGGATGTTGAATTAGGAATCAACATCACAACACTTGGGACACTCCCATAAGTGCTCCATCTTCAGCAGCAAGCGAAGAGTTACAATTCTGATAGTACCAGTAACTGTCTTAATGTATATCCGTCTCGCCTTTTCCCTGAGTGTGGAGCGTCGACCAGATCCCATTGTAACTCCTTGCAGTGCCATTCTCCTCAGGCCATAATGATCTATCTGTGCCTCGGCACTATTCTCGCTCCCAAAGGGCCCCGACAACAGCCAGCTTGTATACATCAGTTCACCACCAAGTATATCTGCCTGCTCATTTCCCACTACACCGGTATAACCTGGAGAAAACATCCAAAGGATGCTAACTACCTGGGATGCAGTCAGTGTTGAGCCAAAAGGTGTAGATATTGCAGCCTAGCTGCAAACTACAGCATAATGTGCCAATCACCGTTTTGTGAGCGAACAAATAAACTACTGACACACTTTATCATCATCAATCTTTCTCAGCTCTTGAAAGCTGCTTTATGTTTTTTCCTGTGTCCACAAATAACCATAAGTCTCAAGCCAGCATGGGACCGCAAGTTTATAATTGTACTTCCTCTGCGACTGAAGGAACCTAAAGGATAGCCAGAGTCTGCCCAGTTACATCCTCTCTAAGTAGGCTAATGGCCCCTGTGGGTAGGCTGGTGGTGGCATGTACTGGCCAGGATGACCAGCAGGTGGCCCCGGGTACTGCCCTGGTGCCATGCTGCTGTTCATCATTGCAACCGGAGGCGGGCCTCCCATCTGAGGACCAACTGTTGACATAGGCATTGGTGGCACTGGAGGCATACTCTGATAGGCTGGTCCCTGAGAGCCTGAGTAGGGGCTGGATGGAGTTGTGGATGGCACAGAGACATTTGAACGAAGAAGTGTCTGCCATTTTGGCAGCTTTTCATGATGTTTTTCTAGTAGCTTCTCCTTGCGTTCCAACTCTGCTTTAAGTTCTTTTATCTCCTGATGAATTGGATAGGGTAAAAAAATTATTTACAAGTGATAAAATAAATATCAAATCAAGTTCAGAGCATTTGCACATGACAAGTCACTTTCATTAAGAAAAGACTTAAAATGATTTCCCTCTATCATGTTCTTGGTCTTTGTATATAATTCAAAATTAGTTCTGTGCAAAACCTTTCATGATCTCATTGCTGATTTGATCTCTTCTGGTCACTCCTGCTATCCTTCCCAGGCATCCTATTTCCTTAGGTACAAATTTTTTTTTCTCTGTGTTGTGAGGGACCATGTCTGACACTGGTGGCATTGACTGACTAAGCATACTAAACTATGGAAGCTGCAGTAGCACAGTGGCTTGGATGCTCACCTGCCGGCCTAATGTTCACCCACAGCTTAAAAACTGACACAGACTCCCAAGAAATAGTCAGAGAAGTCAAGGTGGCTGGCGTGATACTAACTAAATAATTCATTGAGTGCCAACTGGTCTACAAAATCAGAAGGCTGGAACTATACGGCCAATATGCCTTAAAGATTTGATATTGTGCTCTAATTATAACAAATCACTAAAAGACATCTGAAGCTTTACTGGTTTTGTCGGTAGTTCAGATATTAATAGGACAAGAACAGAATCAGTTCTGCCTTTATGGCACAAGCGTTGACCAGCTGTAAACTCTGAGGGAAAGTTGTGATTGTTTGTCCACTTCTGGAATTTAGTCTTGTTTCAGAACTTGAGCTTTATCTGCATATCCATACTACAGATCTAGCTTATTTGTATGCAGACTGTTGGTTTCTCCCTTTTAGGCTGATGCACTCTCACTTTGAAGGTAACACCCCTAATTAGTCACCTTTTTCTAAAAGACTGTTAGGGCGCAGTGGGTGTTTCTTTTTCTTTCTGCACCGAAACCCACAAGGGATGTTACTCTCTGAGACTATGGGTTTCCTGTTCATGATTTAATAAATAAAATGTCTAATTACAATATGCACTGATAAAATTTCGTTCATCACTCATATGATATAGATGTCTAGTTTTCATCATCATTGTCAAGTACCTTGTTAAATTGCGTTGGCGATCACGCTTCTCCACAACTTACAATCTCCAACAACACGTATCAGTTCTTGTGCTGACACCCCACCATGACAAAAGGCTGTCAAAAATCTTCTCAGATTGTCTTCCACTATCTCTCTTTTCACAAATCTCTCCAGCCAGGATATTCTAGAGTTGATTTTTCTTCTCATAACATGGCCAAACAAATCTGAGGGCCTTTTTCAGATTATCCAGCATTATAACAGATATTCTTTATCTGCATTATAAAATATTTGGTTGAATAATAAATAATGTCTTAGAATCTAGCATGTTACATAAACCTTAAACCACAAAAAATGTCAACAGATAACAAGATAATAATCACAGGAAATATGTTACCTCATTCAGCACATGTTCAGGTCGTGCTACAGATAGCATTAATCTTTTGTTAAGAAAATATGTTTCCAACTGCCTTGCCGATTCTAGAAATCTCTGAACACTGTTGTCAACCCCTGAAAAGTAACATGTTTAGTTGAAATATGACTTGGAAACATGGCACTCTAAATAAAACCTGCTGACCTAAGTCTTTATCTGCCAACAAAATGCAGAAAACAAAACTATGAGATAATTAAAAAAAAGTATCATACAGTAACATATCTAAACACAACATGAAACAGTTAATCCAAAAATGGATAACACTGAAAATAATGACTGATCATTTTTCAATTTATTTTTGTTTTGTACTTCCTCTGTACCTCTCTTCCTTTGTACCTCCTTGTTAAAAGCCTATAATTCTTTATTTTCTGGTCACTGCTGTTATCAAAATTTAGAAGTCAATAAAATGATGATATACTGGGCACAGCCTGAGTGCTCAGAGAGTGACCTTATGCACTGAAATAGGAAACAATGGACTGAGAAAAGCAAACAATGGACTGGGGAAAGCAAACAACGGAACAAGGAAAGTAAACAACGGAATGAGGAAAGCAAACAATGGACTGGGGAAAGCAAACAATGGACTGGGGAAAGCAAACAACGGAACAAGGAAAGTAAACAACGGAACAAGGAAAGTAAACAACGGAATGAGGAAAGCAAACAATGGACTGAGGAAAGCAAACAATGGACCGAAGAAAGTTAACAATGGACTGAGGAAAGTAAACAACGGAATGAGGAAAGCAAACAATGGACTGAGGAAAGCAAACAATGGACTGAGTAAAGTAAACAATGGACTGAGGAAAGCAAACAATGGACTGAGGAAAGTAAACAACGGAACAAGGAAAGTAAACAATGGACTGAGGAAAGCAAACAATGGACTGAGGAAAGCAAACAATGGAATGAGGAAAGTAAACAATGGACTGAGGAAAGCAAACAACAGACTGAGGAAAGCAAACAACAGAGGAAAGCAAACAATGGACTGAGGCAAGACATCTAAGAGACACCCTCAGACGCATTTTAAGGAGACAAGCCATGGTGCTGGACAAGATTCCATCCATGATATCGAATTTCTGCCAATGACATAACAGAATGGATGCTCTGACTGCCAGTTGTATGTAAAATAAAAAACAAATTAAAAAAACAGGATGATGATGAATTCTCCATTTTCATAAAAAGATCATTTTATTATAATCATCATCGTTGAAAATTATCTAGGACAGTATATTCGACAGGGCTGATCAGATGTCGCTGGAAGGTGACAAAAAAGCAGCTTGATGTACCAGTGACACACAACCAAAAGAATAGAATCATTAACTCTTTGAGTCCCAAGGAACGCATCATACGCTTATAGGCTTTCGCTTAGAGGCCTAATGAAAGCAAGATGCGCCAAATTTACATCTCTCTTGACTAACCCTTAGGCTTCTGATGCTAAACCCCTGGGACTCAAAGAGTTAAATCAATCACAAATCATTATCCTTCTCATGTTTTTCTTATTTAAATTCAAGCTGTTACATGTAGATTTCATTATTCTAAACTAATGTCTGTGTATTTAATTTCCACAATGTAGTAATCATGTAATAACTTGAAATACTCACCTACTTTTGTTTCCTCAGTATCTTGAACATTAAAATACTCTTGTGATGTCAACAAAGATATACAATTCTGTGGGAACAGAAATAAGAATGACTGATTAGAAGATAATCCAAAAAATTAGTCGTATTCCTCTCCCATGTTTACAATGGATGTATCATCTCGCAATGCGCTCCACGCCCATATCAGACATGGAAACAATTACTGGTCTCCATGATCTGGAAGATAGGAGAGACACAAAGCTCCTCACCCAGCTCTCCAAATACCACCAGAAACCCCAGAAGGCTAGACTAAAGAGAACCTGTTTTATTAAGAACGCAAATGCCAAGCTCGCTGTCCTTAAACTCCCTCCCATAATACCAAATGTTCCATTTAAACCTTACAAGACTGCCCCCCTTGGCTTAGGGATAGCCTACCAACAGTCAGAACCACTGTAACAGGGATCTCCTCCAAAACATCAATGAGCAGCACTGATATGAAATCAATTACAGAAGGAGAGATCAATAGACTTTATCCACACCAGAGTTGGATTCAAGTGTATACAGATGGTTCAGCCAAGAGAGCAGTAAGAGACGGAGGAGGAGGAATATACATAAAATGCCAAATGGTTTAAAAATCAACCAGGCTGTACCAACAGGTTCATATTCCTCCAATTACAGAGCAGAGGCAGAAGCACTTCTAGCGGCATGTTCTTTCCTGAATGGACAACAGCACAGCAAATATAGCAGAGTGGTCTTTCTGACTGATGCTATGTCAGTTCTACAAGCAATTGTTAACCCAAAAGACACTTAGTTTGTAGACTTGATGCAACAGCTGATTATCTTAGGCTCTTCAGTAGAACAATCTGTACTGCAGTGGATTCCAGGTCACTGTGGCTTGGAAGGCAATGAAATAGCGGACAGATTGGCCAGAAGCGACAGTGACATGGTACAACCAAATAGCAACTTAATCCACCAAGAGACGAAAACATTAATACAATCTAGTATCCAAGAAAGGTGGCTGGATACCCACACCAGATTTTCTCCCCAAGACTCACTTCATCGCCTCTCTAGAGAGGGACAGTGTATTATATTCAGACTAAGGACTGGCCACAACAGATTTCGTCAACATATGTTCAAATTTTTCCACGTGGGAAATACGGAGACGTGTCCCTGCAGCGTGGCACCCGAAAATGCTGAGCATGTGCTCCAACACTGTCAACTGTATGCTGACAACAGAGACGCAGTCTGCCCTGTCCCAACCACAATGAAGACAAAACTGTATGGTACACGAGAGGATATGGATTGCACAATAGCTTTCATAAATGCTACTGGCCTCCTGATATAAGTTTTCTGACAGAAGGATCGAAGAAGAAGATCATCTCATGTTTTCATACCTATCTAATTCAGCTAGTAGTAGCAGGAGAAGGCTGGTGATAATGATGATAATTATATCCTTTAACACTCCAGGTTGTTTCAGTAACAATAGCAAAGAAAATTATATGGCTGTTGTGGCAAAAAGAGTGTGTAAGCTTCATATATACTAGATCACAAACCATGAGGTAGGGTGACCAACATATTCCTTGTCTTAATCTTTATTCATATTTTCTCTGAGAAATCACTGAAGCCAGATCAAAATACTCAGATGAAAATCCAGTAACACTGAAGACTGCACAAGAAGCATGTATAGTTAATAGTTGGAAGGGAATACAATTTAAAAACTTCAGAACTGATGAAGAGGTGGTGCAGCCTTCCATTAGCTTGAGAATCAGTTGCACACACTTGTTGTGACTGACTCACAGAGCATGCTGAGAAAGGTGGACACAGGTATGTTTCATGCAGTATGGCAAGCATCACTTTAAAAGTGCAAGGTAGTTAGCATCCTGTGGATTTTTTCTCCAGGATATGTGTACTGGGAAATAAACAGGCAGACTGGTTGGCTGGCTGTGCACCATGTAGCAGTAAATTAACGCATGACAAGCTAGAAGTAGTCTTAGTAGTCAAGGCTCTGGAAGAGGGAGTAAGATATGTGTATAGGCACACAGATAATCTCAGTGTGAAAATAATGAGAGTGATCAGAAGATCTGGCAGACACTCCACTCTAAGAGGAAAGAAAACACTTACAATCAGACTTTTACTGGTACTATCAAAGTTGGAACTCTTCAATTAGGGACTACAGTTTCGACAATTTGCGGTCTTTTCGGCAAGTTCCGTTACCCGGAAACCGTTCAGAACTTGTTCGGGAAATCTCGGCTGGTTTCCGTATGGGTCCAAATCTCTCATGAAATTTTGCCATTGGTGGGAATTTGGACCAGCTATAAATAGCTGAAAACAGCGTGGGGGAACCCGATTAACAGCGCATGTCTACGACAGCCGGACTCCTCTGTTTTTCTGTTAGTCATCAGTTTGATTGAAAATAGCGGTAAATTCGAGGTTGGCTTTAGGCCTTAAACATTACCAGTTGTGGTAATGCTAGTTACAGTTGAATTCTCCGTCCAATTTTACATTTGCATATTAAATTTTTTTTACCGACTCTGGCTGTTTAGATTTACAGTGACATTTTTTAGGCAATCGCATGCGGCTGAGTGAGCTGCGTCTCACTGCCTGCCATCTTGTCCAATGACAGTCCAATGTCAACAAAGCCGATACAGAACTGCGCAGTAGGTTGCGCAGTCAAAAAACTTCTTGTTTCTGGGTCACAAGTTTTAGCGGCTGTTTCTTACATCTCATCTCCACAAAAACCTACATATCTCAGCTCAGAAATGACATACAAGCCTAAATGAGGTACCATTGGAAAGAGATTGTTTACAGCTATCTAACTGTGCTGGTTTTATTGGTGTAGAGGGCATTTTAAAAATTTGACTAAAGTACCTACTTCAATGGCTGCTGAAGATGGGGACGGCGTGCTAATCATATGGGAACATCTCCAGTGCTGGCTGGTGATGTTGGTTCTTAATTTAAAAAGCAACTCAATTAACAGTTTTGAGGGACTGATATTGTTGATGTTTGTCAGAAGAAAACAGCAGCGTCTAGGCATATAACTTTGGTAAAATTATTTTTTTTAAAAATAAAACATTAAAATAAATTCACATCAAGAAAATGGGTTAGTGGCTTAGTGTGCCGACGACTCACTGACTGACTGTGACTGTCGGCTCAACACAACAAAGTGTCAATGATAGAATTGGTAGAAAGGGAAAAACAGTCATACAGATGAGAAACATTTTAAACATTACATCGCACATTTTAAATGAAGTCAAAGGTTCTCCAACAATTCACAGAGACACACATAGATTCACCTGAAATGCTGATTCAAAATCTTCAACCAAATTAGTTGTTCCCACTGCATTTTCACTGGGAGTAGCCATTTTGCGCTGTTTGTAGTTTGTATGCGAATCGTGGGAATAGCCTCCCTTCTTTCGTGAAAAAAAAAAAGAAACATGAATGCCCAAATTCAGGGTTGCCATATTGGTATTTTTTATGCCAGATTCCACAAATTTGGCATATTTGAAATTAAACTGGCATAAGATAATGAACTGGCATATTTGGGGTTTTCCTGGATTTTTTAAAATCAAAATGTGCTCACATTTTCTTCATGGTTAGAAACACGCAGATTTATTAAAAGCAATGTAGACCTACAGTTAATATCTTTATTTCAGTTTTACTTTGTTGTGATGTCCTGGTACAGACTAACGGAGATTTGCACTATTTCTTATTGTATTTTTTGTCTTCCTAAACGGATCGTGACTTCGATAAACCAAGGCCCTTTTTAATTTTTGTTTTTCTACTAGAATAAATGCGGGATTTAAAACCAAAAACCACCACTGATACCAAGTGATTCAGACTGTTCAGAAACTACTTGAGGACAGAAGAGGACCTAGTTCTATCTATGATAGATATTATTACTTTTACCACGTCACCCAAAAAATGGAAAGCATCTTATGACATCGCAAGTATAATAATAGTAACTGGAAGAAAACATACCCACGGCTCAAAAGATCTTCAGATGGATCAGAGGCAGCATATTGCAAACTGTGTCAGTGCACTGTTGCACCAAGAATTAGTAGCATATCAAATCATAATAATAGTAACTGGAAGAAAACATACCCACGGCTCAAAAGATCTTCAGATGGATCAGAGGCAGCATATTGCAAACTGTGTCAGTGCACTGTTGCACCAAGAATTAGTAGCATATCAAATCATAAAAAATCCCCCCCCCCCCCCAAAAAAAAAAAACAGGACAAAAAGGCAGTCACAGCTTATTACAACATTGACTCCTAGGCAAAGTAATGATGAAGTTAGGCAGCAGAGTTGCAACTTGCTGTAGGTATGACCTGCAATTGTACAATATGCACAGTTGATCATATAAGTAAAATCATGAGAGCGCATGGTCGGGGGAGTACATTGGAGCACATACAGTTGAAAAGAACGAAATGTTCATGCCTAATAAAAAATATTATATCGCCTGCACTTAAGGGTGACATTATTGATGATTTTCGGAACATAAAAATATGACATCATTATAGATGAATTGCAAAGACTTCATCCCAACTGAGAAAATGCTTACAGATTTTACATCTCAAAAGGTTTACGATGTATATTCCACTGTTTGACAATGAGGATGCCAGTAAAGAATTCAATCTATAGCTTTTAATGTGAAGTGGGTGCAATGTTGTATTTTATTTGGCATTTTCTGGCTTATTTTTGGGTAATGGTTTGGCACAAAATGAAATTTTTTATCTGGCAACCCTGCCCAAATTAGAAAGAACTTAGAGGTGACGGAGATGTGGTTTGCAGACCTTAGAATCCCGTGGACTGCCAGAGTAGCTAAAGGGGATTGCTTGAAAGAAGCTAATGGAAAAAAATATCAAAATATACAGCTATAAGGAAAATACAAGCACTGTTCTTTGGTCATGTGATGGAGAGAAAAAAAAAGGAAAAAAAAAGGGGGGGGGGGGGGGGAGGGCTTTGGCGAATAATATGACGACTGGAAAGATCAACGGTAGAAGAGGGAGAGGGATGACAGATACATTGCGACAGTGGCACGGAGAGATATCGTTACCTAAATTTCAGACGATCCCACCTCGTCGGCATCATAGAAATTTGGTAGGGAAATCTCCAGAACGTTCCATAGTAAATATAGGAAGGTTAGGGTTAGCAGTAGTAGTCACTTTTCATTTAACAGGCGAGGACACAGAACCTGGTGATGAATAGGTACAAGTACCAACAGGGTGCAGCACGACTTTTTCTACTTGCATCCGTCTAGACAGAAAATGCAGACAAGAAAGTCCAGCCGCTTTTGAGGCAAAAGTGCAAGCTTTGATTTTCGAGAATTCTCTACATGGGGGGTGTTGTAATTTACACAAATGAGTATGTAGTTCGCTATATGAGAAGTTCTTGGGCTTTTACGACTCAGGCTGGAGTTATTATTGTGAAGCAGGATTATGGTGCTGTTGCCTTGACCACAAGTAGTCTGACTATGGGGGTCATGACAGTGATCAAAGCAGAAACATGGCTGGAGACACAGACCTTTTCCCGCGCCTGCTTTCTCAGTGACTCAACGAGTATGCTCAAGAAGATAGAAAAGGGCTGGGTCTGAAGACAGTGGCTGGAGTCTCTAAAGATGTCTGGGCTTACACATATCAATTTCAAATTCGTGCCAAGGTACGCAGGCGTACAAGAAAATGGGCAGGCTGGTCGACTTGCAGGTAAAGCTTATGTGGAGGGCGGACGAGCCACGGACCATGCTGATATTCTGAATGCTCTACGAGAAGTAAAATGTTTGCGATAACCAAGTGATGACTGTAAATCTGAAACCATTTTCAGACTGTAGGGAGAGCAAGTTACAAGGAATTGGCCAGACAAGAGCAATATGCAGGAAGCCAGAGAAGAATGAGAAATCAACACATAACTGGTGTCGTGGGCCGCTAAACGCTTTGGGATTTACTACTGAGGGGATCCGAGCACTTGTTGACTGAAGGTTCGATGTGCAATGCGGATAATCTGTCGACTAACTAACTAACTAATATTTAATACTAGCTCTAACCCCCCCCCCCCCCCCCCCCCCCCAATAATATGGTACTGTCCAGGGAAATCCCCACGAAGTCTCAAAGCCGACGAGATGGGGTCGTCACTTAATCTTTCAGATGGGACTTGAAAGACAGCAGAGTCCGTGGCTTAGGCTTTGATAGTGCGACTCGTAATTCTAACGTCCAGCAATCGAAACCCACTACCAACTACGTGGATTTATCCAGGTATGCGGCGTCACAGGTCAGCCAGCCTAAAAAATGGGGAAGTAAGGACAGCCGGTGTAATGCTGACCACATTACCCACCTAGTGCCGATTGGTCTGTAAAAATATAGATGCTCTTCCCATATGCCCGATGCGCCTAAAGGCAGGAAAAGGGATATTTTATTTACTTACCTGAATACTTTACTTACTTACTTACTCACTCACTTGAAAGACAGGCTCCAGTAAAAAGAAATACCAAGATAATTTAGTGAATTCTCTCTCTTTATGTGCAATAAGTGGTGTTTATATTCTCTCGTTGTCTAGGTGGTGTTCATGTGTGTGTCGTGAATGTTTTTCTCACACACTCTACGTTACATAAATGGTACGAGCCGACACCGACGTTGCCGTACGAACATAAGTTTATTGGCATGTAATAACAGAAGAGTCCTGTCGTTGTCCCAGTAAACAGCTCTCGCACACCAATTCACGCAGCCTTCAAAATGCAGGTTCTTCATGCATTCCCTGACCAGAGTCGGCTCCCATGGATCAAGTTGAGGTTCTGGCCATTTCACAGACTGGCATGGTCGATCTTGAATTCACACTTTGTCGTCAGGGTCTCCTTTCTCAACAATCACTCTTACGTTGACATTCCTCCACTCAGTCTCACATCCTCTCGCTCCAACAGGTCGACACAAACTAAACTTGACCAGAATCAAGTCTGACTTATACCACGGATAAGTTTCACGTGGCAACACGAGTTGGTCTTTTACTTTCACGTGGCGACCTTTGATCGCATCATCGTGGTACCCGTGATAACTAGTGGTCATCACCTATCTCAAGATTCTCGTTTAATCCGAGTATCTGGAATATCTCGGTGTTTTAGGTCAGCTTTGGGCCTCCCCCCCCCCCCCAACCATCCTAATCTGGGTGAAAATATTCCCCATTACATTATGTTACTGCGTTCAGAACCACGTCTCTACGAATTCTATTATTTCACGAACACAACAATACTGCTATCTTATCTGAGGGGATGATAGAAACCACAAACATACTTTGTCTCCGCGGCCTGCAGTTCTCTAGACATTTATTTATATTCTATGTCTCCCCTGTCTGTAGACTAAAACATCGTCAGCAAAAGACTAATTTCTCACAAAAACCTTCTGCCTCTATCCTGCTTGTGTGCACACTAAAAAACAATGGTGGAAAGGGGGGGGGGGGGGGGGGGGGAATCCATGTAGGATGCCAGGTAATGCGTGTTTGAACAGATAGTTTTCTCAAGCTCAGTCACCGAAGGCTGGGGTAGCTGGGCCACACCTAAAAGATGACAAGAGTCCCCGAGGACAACGTCTACAGAGGCCGCCCTCTACTATGATATAAATATGTGTGCAAGCGCAATATGAATGATACAGGTTTTGAGATAGATTCTTTGTAACAAAATGCCACTGACCGTATTGTGTTGAGGAGGAAAATCAAGAAGAATAAAGGTAGGAAAAGACTGCAGAAAGGATGAGAGCTTAATTTACAGAGAGGTCCTGAAAGCCAAGACGCACTGAAACAGCTAAAAGCTAGCTATAACGAGGGGTGGGGGGGGGGGGGGGGGGGGAGAATTGTTTGAAATTAAGCTAACTGAACACAAGACTTTCGTAGGAGTAGAAGTCTGAGTTCTAAGTATTTTTCATAAAAGAAAAAAAAATTGATATCAGTATCATGCATTTACTGAAAAGTTATTTATAGTTTTATAGGCATATCTTGCTCATTTTTCTGAAAGCTTTGAATAAGTTGATCTTAAAACTTTAGTTAGAAAAAACTGCAACATTATTCTATCCTAGGATGCTATGCCAGTTAACGTGGCAAAACAACTGAGTTATGCAAATGGCAAACTGAATCCAAGAAATTCTCATCTTTTTCTCGTCTTAACGAACCCTTGGAAAGAAAAATCAGTGTGACAATAATAAACTTGCTGTTAAAATTCAGTGACAATTAGATTTTATCTGTTGTCTGGATCTATCATTTGATGTCTGGTCTTGGAAATTAACCAGAAATCCATTCATTACTGACATTGATACGGTGTCAGTGTATTCAAGAACAACTCAGCTGAAGTGCAATTCACGGGATAAAGATGATTTCAAATTTGTTA